AGCACTCACACTGTGAGAACACCTGCACTGCATTAGCGAGAGCACTCACACTGTGAGAACACCTGCACTGCATTAGCGAGAGCACTCACACTGTGTGAGAACACCTGCACTGCATTAGTGAGAGCACTCACACTGTGAGAACACCTGCACTGCATTAGTGAGAGCACTCACACTGTGAGAGAACACCTGCACTGCATTAGCGAGAGCATTCACACTGTGTGAGAACACCTGCACTGCATTAGTGAGAGCGCTCACACTGTGAGAACACCTGCACTGCATTAGCGAGAGCACTCACACTGTGAGAACACCTGCACTGCATTAGCGAGAGCACTCACACTGTGAGAGAACACCTGCACTGCATTAGCGAGAGCATTCACACTGTGTGAGAACACCTGCACTGCATTAGCGAGAGCACTCACACTGAGAACACCTGCACTGCATTAGCGAGAGCACTCACTGTGTGAGAACACCTGCACTGCATTAGCGAGAGCACTCACACTGTGAGAGAACACCTGCACTGCATTAGCGAGAGCACTCACACTGTGTGAGAACACCTGCACTGCATTAGAGCACTCACACTGTGTGTGAGAACACCTGCACTGCATTAGTGAGAGCACTCACACTGTGTGAGAACACCTGCACTGCCTTAGCGAGAGCACTCACTGTGTGAGAACACCTGCACTGCATTAGTGAGAGCACTCACACTGTGTGAGAACACCTGCACTGCATTAGCGAGAGCACTCACACTGTGAGAACACCTGCACTGCATTAGTGAGAGTGCAGCACTGCGTTTGTTAGGGACAACACCTGGACTGGCTACAGCCAAGGATCAAGCCTCTCACTGCCACAAAGCAAACCAGTGCCCACCCTGGAATGCCACGTAGGCCCTCTGCCTGTCATTGTACCCCTGGTGTTGGTAGGTTGCGCATAGTGGGCTGTTGAGTAAGCACTCTCTTACTGTAACATGTTGCTGCTTCAGTTTCAGTTCATTGTCTTCAGATTGTTCCCAGAGGCCCGCACTCCTCATCCTTCGCAAGACACAGCTGGCCTTCCTTGGAAACCTCTATTCCTTCCTTCTGCAGACTGGCAGAGTGCTGCGCTCTCTCTGTGGAAGTGGAGCAGCTTCCAAGAGCTGCTGAAGGAGAAGGAGTTTCATGTAGGTCCTTTCTCTCCCATGTGTCCTGGCCCTTGGCTAGTAGGGAAGGAGGGAGAGTGTGAGGCTGTGTGTATGTATCTTTGTCTCTCCCAGGTGTGGGGTTTGGAAGTGTGAGGCACTGCATCTCGTGTGTGTTTGTGTGTGTGTAATATGTGTGAGACACATACACTTGGTCTGGCTGAAAGCTTTCACTGAGACTGTACAGCTATAGTAAATACTGTGCTTTGCCTAGGTTCTTCCGACAGTTACTTTCTGCAAAAATCTTTTTTTTTTGTCAGTTGTGGGGCCTGAACTCTAGGCCTGGGCGCTGTCCCTCAGCTCTTCAGTTCAAGGCTAGCACTCTACCACTTGAGCCACAGCACCACTTCTAGCTTTTTCTGCTTATGTGGTGCTGAGGAATCAAACCCAGGGCCTCATGCATGCAAGGCAAGCATTCTACCACTGAGCCACCTTCCCAGCCCTCTACAAAAGTCTTGAAGGATGAATAAACCCTATTTGAACACTTGCCAGGCCTCATGGTATACCGAGTGTCTGCCTGCCAGGAATAGTTACCACCATCAGCCCCCTATCACTCATTTCTTAGGGTGTTTGCTTCATTTTGTTAGGGAAAAAGTTCAGCTGTTTTCCTTTTTTTTTTTTTTTTTGTTGGTTATGAGGTCTGAACTCAGGGCTTGGGCTCTGTCCCTGAGCTTTTATGTTCAAGGCTAGAGCTCTACCACTTACACAGTGCCTCTTCCAGTTTTCTGGGGATTAAATGGAGATACGTCTCATGGACTTTCCTGCCTGGGCTGACTTCAAACCATGATCCTCGAATCATGATCCTCAGCCTCCAGAGTTGCTAGGATTATAGGTGTGAGCCACTGGCCCCCACTTTCCCCTTAAAAAAAATTTTTTTTTCCTTCCTTCAGCCTGGGACTCCTGAAGGTGTAGTAAATGATGTATTCACAAAATATTTATTATGAGTTTAAAACAAGATCTCTCTAATTATGCCTAATCCCATGTAAATAAGCCATAAAGTATTTAAAAGTATTTACTTAGATTTGTTATCACCCAGTTGGATAGCAAAAAATCATCTGTAAGTGTAGATTAGTATTTTGTTTACAATTTCTCAGTAAGGAAAGCAGTTGGCTTTCTTATGTAGTTCCTGGTGATATATAACTCTTGTCCCTCTTGCCTTATTTGTCTTATCTTTTCTGCTTTCCCTCCCTATTGTGCTTTTTCCTCTTTTATCCTCTCATATTCTTTTTTTTTTTTTTAATAAAAACAATCCCAAGGCATTTCTTGTCACCTGATGATAACACAAGGTCATCAGAAATGTGCACACTAACAACGGGGCTCATCAAACAATATGAGCAGATGTTTTCTTAGATTCCCAGCAAAGAACATTAAAAAAACAAAACAAAACAAAAAAACACTGTATAAGATTTTTTTTTTTTTTTTGCCAGTTATGGGGCCTGAACTCTGGGCCTGGGCGCTGTCCCTCAGCTCTTCAGCTCAAGGCTAGCACTCTACCACTTGAGCTACAGCGCCACTCTGCCTTTTTCTGCTTATGTGGTGCTGAGGAATCAAACCCAGGCCCTCATGCATGCAAGGGAAGCACTCTACCACTGAGCCACCTTCCCAGCCCTGTATAAGATTCTTAATAACTTCTCACTTCATTGATCATTTCTAGTTGGAGACACTTTGTAGTAGAGTAATATTATCTCCTTTTAACATGATCCGACCCAGTTGTTTTCTTGACTTTGTTTTAGAATGAATTTCTTCTGCATCATCTAACACAAGGTTCATGTTTTCATCAAAACCAGTGATGCAGCCCTCTATCCGCATATTCACTTGCTCATAGAGCCACACCTGAATACGAGATCTATTTTGTAAGATTGATGGGCTGCACCATCAGCTTCTGCACCTTTTGGCCCTGGCCACAGTACGCCATGGTGGAATCTTACAAAGGCCACATGGATCAGCACTCCTCTCATATTCTTTTTTTTTTTTTGGGGGGGGGGTCCAGTCCTGGGCCTGAACTCTGGGCCTGGGCGCTGTCCCTCAGCTCTTCAGCTCAAGGCTAGTGCTCTACCACTTGAGCCACAGCGCCACTTCTAGCTTCTTTTTGCTTATGTGGTGCTGAGGAATCGAACCCAGGGCCTCATGCATGCAAGGCAAGCGCTCTACCACTGAGCCACCTTCCCAGCCCTCCTCTCATATACTTATAGTTAATCACTGTTTTTCTTTTTCCTCAGACCAATATATGAGATCTTTTTATGTTGTAAGGTCGTTTATCAAATTATTTCCATTTCAGAACCAAAATTTGTATACAAATGGCTGTCCTACCTTTTCTGATATTTTTAAATACCATTTTTTGTATTGTACAATGTACTTTTTATGATTTTTCTTTTCTTCATTAAAACTTTGAAAAAAAAATTTCCCCCCAGTACTGGGGCTTGAACTCAGGGTTCCTTATGTTTGCTACACTTGCTTTCTATCACTACTATTTGAATCATGTCTCTAGCTTGCCTTTTTGCTGGTAATTAGAAGCACAGTCTCATGGACTTTCCTACTGTCCTTGAACTATAATCTTCTAGGTCTCAGCCTCCTGGTTACAAATGAAGCCACTGGAGACAAGTTTTATTGAACCTGTTAATGTTAGATATGCTAGCTCACAAGTGTGGGTATGGCACGGTGCCTAGAGTGAGAACAGTGAGCAACTGCAGACTTGCTATCAGGGGCGCCCAGTGGGGGCCCTCTTCACAGGGCTGTGGCCTTGGCCTTCATGGGAACATGTGTGTCAGGGTTTATTTTATGAGTCATAGGAAGTGCTGAGGTTAATTCACATTGATTTGTGGAACTAACAACGTCTTAGAGGAAATAAATTGCTATGAGTATTTAAACCATGTTGTTCGCTGGGCATTGGTGGCCTGTTATCCTACCTACTCAGGAGACTGAGATCTGAGGATTATGGTTCCAGGCAGAAGAGTCTCTGTGAGACTTTTTTTTTGTGGGGGGGGACAGTTCCGGTTGTGGGGCCTGAACTCTGGGCCTGGGCGCTGTCCCTCTGCTCTTCAGCTCAAGGCTAGCGCTCTACCACTTGAGCCACAGCACCACTTCGGCTTTTTCTTTTTGCTTATGTGGTGCTGAGGAATTGAACCCAGGGCCTCATGCATGCAAGGCAAGGGCTCTACCACTGAGCCAACTTCCCAGCCCCTCAGAAATCTTTTTTTTTTTTTTTGGTCTGGTCCTGGGGACTGAACTCTGGGCCTGGGCACTGTCCCTCAGCTCTTCAACTCAAGGCTAGCGCTCTACCACTTGAGCCACAGCACCACTTCTGGCTTTTTTCTTTTTTGCTTATGTGGTACTGAGGAGTCCAACCCAGGGCCTCATGCATGCAAGGCAAGCGCTCTATCACTGAGCCACCTTCCCAGCCTCTGTGAGACTCTTATCTCCAGTTAACCACTCAAAAACAGGAAGTAGTGCTGTGGCTTAAAGTAGTGGAGTGCTAGACTTGAACAAAAGAGCTCGGAACAGTGTCCAGGCCCAGAGTTCAAGCCCCATAACCGATGGGAAAAACAAACAAACAAAAAAAGCTTATTATTTATTACATTGAAGTCTAATGGCATAGACTTACAAGTCACACGGGTTAGCTATTTGAAACTAGGCAAATTTAGGACAATTTTAGTTAGCGTCATATTCAGAGGTCATAAATAGTATCAATTTCTTTCTTTTTTTTTTTTTTTTTTGCCTGTTGTGGGGCTTGAACTCTGGGCCTGGGTGCTATCCTTCAGCTCCTTAGCTCAAGGCAAGCACTCTACCACTTAAGCCATAGTGCCACTTCCAGTTTTCTGAGTGGTTTATTGGGATAAAGAGTGTCAAGGACTTTTCCTGCTTGGGCTGGCTTTGAACTGCGATCCTCAGATCTCAGCTTCCTGAGTAGCTAGGATTACAGTCATGAGCCACCTGTGCCTGGCTAGTATCAGTTTCTGTGTCTTATTCTTCATTTCTTTGGGTTTAGTGTGAAATACATTCTAGAAGTGTGGCCTTTATATATTTGGAATTTTTAAAGGTCTGATATTCATAATCCAAACAACTGAAGTTTATAGCATTTTTGGTCCAAAGCATTTGCTGTAGGAGATTTGGGTTCCCTGTTTAAGGAATAGGTGTAAGAATAGATCATTTCTGGGCTGGGAAGGTGGCTCAGTGGTAGAGTGCTTGCCTTGCATGCATGAGACCCTGGGTTCGATTCCTCATCACCACATAAGCAGGAAGAAGCTAGAAGTGGCACTGTGGCTCAAGTTGGTAGAGTGCTAGCCTTGAGCTGAAGAGCTGAGGCACAGCCCCTAGGCTCAGAGTTCAGGCCCACGACCAGCAAAAAAAAAAAAAAAAAAAGGATGGGGGCTGGGAAGGTGGCTCAGTGGTAGAGTGCTTGCCTTGCATGCATGAGGCTCTGGGTTTGATTTCTAAGCATCACATAAGCAGGAATAGCCAGAAGTGGTACTGTGGGCTCAGGTGGTAGAGTGCTAGCCTTGAGCTGAAAGGCTGTGGGACAGTGCCCAGGCCCAGAGTTCAGGCCCCATGACCGACAAAAGTAAGGACAGGACCTCCTCTTTGAATCCCCTCTCTGAGTGGAGAGTCTTTCTAACTTTTACGGCTTTCTTTTAACTAAACTTTCTCTGTTTACCTTTAAAAACAAAAAAAAACAAACCTAAAAACTGTGGCTCATGCTTGAAATCCAAACTCAGGATCCTACTCTGAGTATCACAGTTCAAAGCCAGCCAAGACAGGAAAGTTCTTGAGACTCTTATCTCCATTTAACTCAGAAAACTAGAAGTGGTGCTGTGACTCAAAGTGGTAGAGTGATTGCCTTGAGTGAAAAACCTTAGAACTCACAGACACTGAGTTCAAACCCCACGACTAGGGACTGGGAAGGTGGCTCAGTGGTAGAGTGCTTGCCTTGCATGCCTGAGGCCCTGGTTCGCTTTCTCAGCAACACAAAAGCAGAAAAAGCTGGAAGTGGTGCTGTGGCTCAATTGGTAGAGCACTAGCCTTGAGCTGAAGAGCTGAGGCACAGCGCCCAGGTCCAGAGTTCAGGCGCCACAACCGACAAAAAATAAAAACGGCAAACCTCTTTTTTAACCAAAAAAGAAAAGGATGAGGATGGTTTTCTTCCTCAATACTCAGTTGCAGTTTCATCATAACATAGGGTACAGATCTTTGACTTTACTACAAATGGCAAGTATTTATAAACTTACTTTGCCCTGTGTCTTGTAGTTAACTTACAGGGATTGGCTGCAACTGGAACTGGACATTGAGCCTGGAGCTGATGTTCTTTCAGATGTGGAGAGGTGAGTGATGGAAGAGAGCTACCTTTTTTTTTTTTTAATATTTTTTATTGTGAAAATATTGTACAGAGGGGTTACAATTACATGGGCAAGATAATGAGTGCATTTCTTATCAAGCATTGTAGCCTCCTGCTTTGTTTACCCTTCCCACCCTCTCCCTGCCCCTCTCCCCGAGAGCTACCTTTTGAAGCCAGTCCCAGTCTCTCTGTCATCTTAGGTCTGTGCCATCATGTCCTCCTGTAATTAATCTTCCAGTTAGCTAACATTAGAACACAACATTCCTTTAGTCAAAAAACTAATTGGGGTGGGTGTTCTTTGTGGAGGGTGGAGGCAGCTGTGGCCGTTGGGGTGGGTGTTCTTTGTGGAGGGTGGAGGCAGCTGTGGCTGTTGGGGTGTGTGTTCTTTGTGGAGGGTGGAGGCAGCTGTGGCTGTTGGGGTGTGTGTTCTTTGTGGAGTGTGGAGGCAGCTGTGGCTGTTGGGGTGTGTGCTCTTTGTGGAGGGTGGAGGCAGCCGTGGCTGTTGGGGTGTGTGCTCTTTGTGGAGGGTGGAGGCAGCTGTGGCTGTTGGCGTGTGTGTTCTTTGTGGAGGGTGGAGGCAGCTGTGGCTGTTGGCGTGTCTGTTCTTTGTGGAGGGTGGAGGCAGCCGTGGCTGTTGGGGTGTGTGCTCTTTGTGGAGGGTGGAGGCAGCCGTGGCTGTTGGGGTGGATGTTCTTTGTGGAGGGTGGAGGCAGCCGTGGCTGGTGGCGTGTCTGTTCTTTGTGGAGGGTGGAGGCAGCCGTGGCTGTTGGGGTGTGTGCTCTTTGTGGAGGGTGGAGGCAGCTGTGGCTGTTGGGGTGGGTGTTCTTTGTGGAGGGTGGAGGCAGCCGTGGCTGTTGGGGTGGGTGTTCTTTGTGGAGGGTGGAGGCAGTCATGGCTGTTGGGGTGGGTGTTCTTTGTGGAGGGTGGAGGCAGCTGTGGCTGTTGGGGTGTGTGCTCTTTGTGGAAGGTGGAGGCAGTCATGGCTGTTGGGGTGTGTGCTCTTTGTGGAGGGTGGAGGCAGTCATGGCTGTTGGGGTGTGTGTTCTTTGTGGAGGGTGGAGGCAGCCGTGGCTGATGGGATGTGTGCTCTTTGTGGAGGCAGCTGTGGCCGTTGGGGTGGGTGTTCTTTGTGGAGGGTGGAGGCAGCCGTGGCTGTTGGGATGTGTGCTCTTTGTGGAGGGTGGAGGCAGCTGTGGCCGTTGGGGTGGGTGTTCTTTGTGGAGGGTGGAGGCAGCCGTGGCCGTTGGGGTGGGTGTTCTTTGTGCAGCATTTCTCAGGACTGATCCAGATGTTTGCTGTTGCAGACAGGACTTCCATCAGTGGGCAATCCATGAGCACTATTTGCTGGCACCGCTGGCTTCAGGGGGCTGCAGCGGAGACCTGGAAGTGGCCTGCACAGTTCTTGTCAATGAGCTGATGGACTTCTACCAAGGGTCAGTCATGTGATGCTAACTACATTGTTTTTTGTGATTCTGAGAACATATGATCATCCTCTTAATCTCGTCACTTCACCCAAAGTGTCTCCGGAAGACACTTCACCTGAGTCTGATCTCTGGATCAGCTGTTTGTATGTATGGCTTGGTTCTTTTTTGCACCTGGAGTTTGGGATCAGCAAATGTGAACAGTGGGACAGGCAGTTTTTCAAGTGGCATGGTCCCTCCTGGGCATGTCTCCCTTCTGAAGTGGTCTGTCATTGGACCTCAAACCTGTGCTAGCAACTCACAGGTTCTGCCTGTTACCCTAGCAGTGACCATTAGGTCACTAGGTTCTGTTCTCTAAGTTGTAGGTAATAAACTACATTACTTGATAATCATAAAAGAATTAAAATCTAAGTGCCAGTGGTTTATGTTAGTAATCCTTGTTACTCAGGAAGTTGAGACCCATAAGCTTGCATTAAGAGCCATCTGGGGCAGAAAAGTCCAAAAGACTACTTCTTACTAACCAGAAAAGGCTGAACACAAGGGGTAGATCGTGAATTCTTGAGTTCATGCTCCAGTATTGGAGGAAAAAGGAAAAAAAAAATCCTAAGGCTGAGGCCATACCTCATTAGTAGAGAGAGCACTTGCCTAACCCCCAACATGGAAGACCAAAAGCATAGTTTTACACTGTGCAGGCAGATCGTTGCTCAAGATTCCACAGGACATTCAAAAGCACTGTCTAGCTTCTGTGTGGCTGTTCCAGCATGATCAGTGCTGTTAGAATGTCTCTCTATGTAGCCCAGACTGGCCTGGAAAGGGACATCCTCCTATCCAACCTCCTGAGTTATTGAGATGACAGGCCTGGCCACTGTGCAGTATGGAATTTTTCCTACTGGAACTTAGTGGCTGAGAACAACATGCACCAAGCAAAGTGAAATTGGAGCCAAGTGTGGTGTATGCACAAGTGTGGCAGATGAGGCCCACGTCAGTGACTGGGCTGCTCATGTCCCATTTCCTGCCTGAGGAATTGCATGTTCTGAACATTTTATGTAGTCTTATGAGACCTTTATGTCTGGCTTACTTCACAGAACATAGGGTTGAACTCATGGCTTCATGCTTGCTAGACAGGTGCTCTACTGATTGAGTCAAGCTTCAAGCAAATTTTTTTTTTGTGGGACTTGAACTCAGGTTCTGGGTGCTGTCCCTGAGCCTTTTTGCTCAAGACTAGCACCTACAACTTGAGGTACAGCTCTACTTCCAGCTTTTTGTGTTTAATTGGAGATGAGACTCTCTCAGACTTTTCTAGCTGTAGGCTGGCTTTGAACTGTGATTCTCAGATCTCAACCTCCTGAGTAGCAAGGGTTACAGGCATGAGCCACCAGTGCCTGGCTTAGCAAATTGTTTTTGAGGTTCATCTCTGCTGTAGCAAGAGTCAGTACTTTATTTTTATCGTTGCATATTGAAGAATACTCCACATTTTTTTTTTTACTAACATTTTCTTAAATCATTCTTTCATTGATGGCCTCACAGGTAAAGTATGAATACTGCTGCCATGAACATTTTTTTAATGGATGCTGTGTTTTAATTTTTCTTGGGAATATGCATATGACTAGATTTGCTGGGTTATATGGGAACTTTTTTTTTTCCCTTAATTGAAAAATTTTTATTTCCCCTTTTAAATTCATTTAATTGAAGTTTGGTCACAGAAATAACACAACAGTGGATTTAGAGTCCTTTACAGTTAAACTATAAAACCAGATAGGTGATATGACTATCTTCTAAAGGGAAACAGGCCAAGCGCATGCCAACTACGGCAGGATATAGTGGGTTATCTGTATCCAGTATCTGTTCCCAGTACTTTTTTTTTTTTTTTTGGTGGTACTGGCGCCTGAACCCAGGAACTTTTACTTGCTAGACAGGTGCTCTACCACAGTGCCATGCCGCCAGCCTGATGTTTCAATTTTTTTTGTCAGTCATGAGGCTTGAACTCAGGACCTGGGCTCTGTCTCTTGACTTTTTTGCTCAAGGTTAGCACTCTACCACTTGAGTCATAGCACCACTTCCAGTTTTTTGGTGGTTAATTGACCTTTCCTGCCCGGGCTGGCTTAGAACCTCCTGAGTAGCTAGGATTATAGGCATGAACCACTGGCGCCCAGCTTCAATTCTTTCTTTCTTTTTTTTTTTTTTTTGTCTTTTCTTTCTTGGTATTGGGGATTGAACCCAGGGCAAAGCACTTAGGCAAGGGCTTTGCCACTGAGCTACACCCAGCCCAATGTTTCAGTTCTTTGTTGAAACTGAACTACATGTCTAGAAGGCCCTGCCCCCCATGGAAGATATAACCTGAGCTCACAGTGAACCACAGTGGAGGATACTAAAACCTCCTCCAGGTCCTCCTACAGCCCCCTAAAGAAGACTTTTTTTTTTTTTTTCTAAACTAATTTCACAGAAACACCCAAGCTTTATAACCTCCATGGCACTATCGGTCACAGCCATCCAGCTGGACTCCATGGCCCAGCTGCTCTGCAGGGTCCTGCCCTAAGGGAAGCCTGGAAAGTTGTCAGAACCCACACCCGTGGCTTCAGCCACGGTTGGGAACTTTTTTTCAAGGAACTACCATAATACTTTGCACATCTTGCTTTACCATTTTACATTTCCACCTGCAATATAAAGGATATTAAGTTTTAACGGACCATCATCAGCACTGCTACTATTTTCTGGCTTTTGTGTGTGTAGAGAGGGTGTGCCATTACTGGGGTTTGAACTGGAGCCTGAGTACTGTCCCTTAGTTCTTTTTGCTCAAGGATGGCACTCCATTGCTTGAGCCATGCCTCCATTTCCAGCTTTTTGCCTGAGATAAGAGTTTCTCTAAGCAAGGCACTAGTGGCTCTTGCCTATAATCCTAGCTAATGAGGAAGCTAAGATTTGAGGATTGCAGTTTAAAGCCAACCCAGGCAAGGTTATCTTTATCTCCAATAATTACTCCAAACAAGCTAGAAATGTCGCTGAGGCTCAAGTGGTAGAGTGCTAGCCTTGAGTACAAAGAGGCTCAGGGACAGAGCCCAGGACTGGCTAAAAAAGTTTCTCAGATGCCTAGTCTGGCTTTAAACCAAAATCCTCAGATCTCAGTGTCCTGAGCAGCTAGGATTACAGGTGTGAGCCACTGATGCCTAAAATTTTTTTTTAATCTGCTCAAAGCTACTGCTTTACTACTTGACCCACACTTCCACTTTTGGATGAGAGACTTTCTTGCTTTTGGGTGGGGTAGAAGACTTTCCTGCCCCTGCTGGCTTCACACTGATCTTCAGATCTCGGCTTCCTAAATATTAGGATTACAGATGTGAGCCACCAGTGCTCAGCTGTTTCCTGACTTTTCAATAATATCTACTCTTCAGTGTCCTTGGTTAAATTAATTCCTAAGAATTTTATTCTTTTCAATGCTATTTTTATAAGAATTATTGCTCTGTTTTCATTTTTAGATTATACACGTTTGTTTGTTTTTTTTTGTCGGTCATGGGGCTTGAACTCTGGGCCTGGGTGCTATCCTTCAGCTC